CCTTTACAAGCTTGGCTGCTCTTGCACTTAACACATAGATGTTAAGAATTGAAAGTTCTGACAAGATCAGGTTCATTCAGGGTGTTCTTAAGTTAGTGTGTAAGCATTTGGGTTTGGTATATGTGTAGATCTAGTTCCTGATTTATTAGTTTGTCTTTGTTTTCAGGTTTTTTCCCTCTTGTTTGTTTCTTCTCTGGCCTCCTGGAAGGAGGAGCCTGTAGTTAGGTAAAGGGTCTCTACCTGAGTTGGGTACTAGAGTTTTGTCCTCTAGTTCAGCAGGGATTCCTCCACCGGATTTGGGGGCTGGGATATGCTAACAAGGATGAGAGGGCTGTTTGGTTGTAGGCTTGTAAAGTTCATGGGTAAGGAGCCTACTCAGGGGTTCTGGTGTGGTCGGGGCTTCCACCAGAGTTGTGGGTCAGGATATGGTCACAGGGAGAGGAGTGCTCATTGGGGTATGTTGATGGACACTGAGGGAGTATTGTTGATCTTCATATGGAGGCTTATCTGAGGTTCTAAGTGCCAGCATGTCCTCTGTTAAAGCAAGAATTTTCCATTCTTTACTTTTTCTTTTGAATTTATTTTCCTGAAATATGGATTATCTTTTTTTACTAATTTTTAAAGTTTTATTTTCTGAGATTATGGTATAATTTCATCATTTTCCCTTTCTGTTTCCTCCTTTTATGCTTTCCAATGTCTCCTACACCCACAGTCTTTCACATTCATGCTCTCTTTTTCTTTGTTGGTGTGTGTATGTGTGTGTGTGTGTGTGTGTGTGTGTGTGTGAGAGAGAGAGAGAGAGAGAGAGAGAGAGAGAAAATACAAGGTGATATAGTTCATTATAACATTTTCATGAATATACGTAATTATATTTTATTTTTATTCTTTTTCCACCATTGTCCTTTTTCCACCCCATCTCCCTCTTATTGTTCCATTTTATTTTGCCAATAAAATTTGGTATGTGCGTCCACAAATATTTTTAGTTATAATTACTAAGCTTGTTCCAATTAAGCAACACCCTCCCATGAACTCTATTCAATGCCCAGAGATGAGTTTTTCCAATTTGCTTCATACTCACTAATTCTGGTTGTGTTCAATGTACCATTTTCTTTATTCTTTCAAACTGGTTCTTTTCCTAGACTCATGCAGGTTTCTTGAGTGTATGTGCTGACTAGTATTTTGCTAAATCCCTGAAAAGGCCCTGCTCAAAAATCAGGGTGTCTTTTTCTTCATAGCCCTGGCATTTCCAGTTCATGGCCCTAGAAACTCTTGATGCCTTGATTTCCTCTCTTCCACCTCTTCAATTGCACACTCCTCTAAACTCTCTCCATTTTTCCCAGCTTATGCTGTAGCCTGGAAGCTTTCACAAAGTTGAGCCTTCAGCCCACAGTCAGGCTTACCTCTTATGACACTCAGGAATTACATTGTTTCCTGTCCATGTCAAAATATTTAGCCTGATACCTAGTTCTAAATTGTTTCATCAATATGAATCTGATGTCTTGTTTGTCACTGGCATGAGAGAGAGAATTCACAGTCAAAAATATAACTAATTTTCAACAAAATATAAGATTTAAGCTATTGAATAGACCATGGATCGCTGAGGTTTAATTTTAAGTATATTTATTAATGATGAATTGCCAACATTTTCATAATTTGCCATTAAAAATACTAACTGATGTGTTTAGTGACAAAAGTGTGATTTGTGACATAATTTAGCATATTATTTTAGAGGCTATATATAACTTTAAAAATAGTAGCAACTCAACTCCTTTAATTCTGTGGTGACACTAAATGTATAAGGAACATTTTAAAAATTATCTTGAAAAATAGTATCGTATTTTGGAACCATATAAAGCAAATGAATGAAAATAAAAATGCTGATTATGTGGTTCACTGCCATTCTGACTCACTGTTTTAGGATACTAAGGCATAGAGTAGATAATTTAAGAAAATTCCTACAGTATTGGAAGTTCTAGGAGTTGAAATATGGTAGCAATGGATGAACACTATCCAGTCAGCATGAAGAAGATGGTAAAATCATATAGTTTGTACTGATGCAATCTTTGGGATGGAAAAGATTACTCAGTTTAATGCAGAGAGCCTTTATCATTTATTACATGACATAACAATTGATATTCATGGCATCAACCCACCACATTCAACTTCTGATGGAGAGAAACTCATTTTGCAAAGTCTACGAGATACACAGACTCCAGAATATGTGTTGCTTCTGTCTGCAATTTTACACATGTGCTAATTGCATCCTTCACATCCTGTATATAATGTGTACATGTATCTCATGAATACATTCCTGATTTACTGGGCATTTTCATGTGTGGATTTTCAAGACGATGGCTCATCCTTAGTTATGTTGTCCAATTAATATTATTATTGTTAACCTATACTGAGTTTTGATAAATAAAATAAATGCATAGAGATGCTGCCCAAATCAGAGTTATGAGTTTCCATTAAGAGCTATCAGAGAGCACAGCTTAAGAAAACACCTGTAATTTCCCCAGCTGCCAAGATAGCTCTATACTATCAACTGATGTAAAACTTTAAAGTAGTTTTTAGATCAAATCAGATGTTTTATTAATTGGGTGTTAAGATAAACTATTCACAGAAAATACAATCTTATTTACAAATGTATATAGCCAGCTGTGTGATGTAATGAGCCAAGATAACATAGTTCAAAGTAACCTAATTGTGGTGCCCAGAACACTAATTAACTCTTAGCACTGATCCAGACCTTTCTTATCATCTTTCTTCAGACACCATGGGATAACATTTCCTTAGTATCCAGAGATACCTACAAAATATAAACTAACTTCACAGACCTGAACAAGAGTGAGAAGCTTCCCTTTCTAGGGTCAAGAGTTGAACACAGGACAGACAAACCATATCTTATTCCAAATACTTTTACTGTCACTATGCCTTGGAGAGTGCTGTGTGGCCTCCTTTGCCTTGTCCCTGCCTCTTCCCCCTGCAGCCTGTGCTGCTGCACTCTCTTTGATGATGCATTTATAAACAAACAAGACTCTAATCTGATAAAATCCTGGTCTTTACAATTACGAATCACAAAAAGTTTAAGATGATTTATATACTCAGAAGTATAGGATATAACATACAATTTCCTATTTCACTTATTAGTTTAGTTTTGTAAGACTACCTCTACAGATAAAATAACATAAAAGTCTTCTTTTGCAGCTGCAGTATGCAGTTAAATAGTTATAAAGCTACCTGAAAGAAAGTGCTCTTTTCTTACCATCTGGATTTATTGCATTGAGAGTTGTTGGAATGATTCTGTTTCTTCTCATTTACTTAAGAAATGATATGTGACATTCAGATGAATACCTGCAGGATTTTGTGGGTCTTTATCAGCTGTGTAGAACAAAGAGAGCTAAAAGAAGCTGGCAGATGAGAAAAAAGTAGCAGAATGGCATCATTTCAGAAATTAGGAGAAACTGGAAATTGGCAGGAAGGCAAAATAGCACATGCCATCATGAGAGAATGAGTGCTAACATACAACAAAAGAATATGGTTGACCCATTCTTTCCTCTGAAATCCCTCAGATAAAAAAAGCCCTAAGTTCACTAAGCTGTTTCTTTGACAACTTTAATGTATAGATAGATAGATGGATAGATAGATAGATGATTGATAGATTTGTTTTGTTTTGTTTTGCACTGAGCACTGCAAGCACCTCAGAAGCATGTTCTATGGAGCTGCTTTAATTTAACTGATGAGTTGCTGTATCATTTACTTTAAGAAACAAGACTCCAAGGAAAATAATATCAGATGAATAGAAAGTCCAAGGATACCTGAAGAAAATACTCTGATGTATGCAAAAGTAACCATTCACACTTGGATAATTATAACCATTTGCAATTATAGGTACCTTGTCAGAAATAAGCAACCTGAAAATTAAAAGCCTCCAGTGTGGTGACCTCCAGCTAGTATTTCCTAGTAGGCACTCCATTGTTCTGTAAACTAGAACAATTAAAAAATACTTCATACCATGGAATTTTGAAGTAAAAAACACTTAGTCCAGTACTTTTTCAAGGTTTAAAATAATTTCATGCCACATTGAGCAGCTGGAATTGGAGAAAAGAGAGGATTCTAATATATGCTGTAATGATTACTAGTTACTTGTAAAAATGGTGTATTAAATAACATTCTTCAGCTATATTTTAATGGTTATTTTACTTTTAAAGAAAAAGCAAATGTGGTCTTTGAGGGTATAGGTCATACAACCTATGAAGATGTTGATGGCTTACTTCAGAAGAAAATCTGTCTCCACATCATTTGGAAGTGTATGTAAAGGGGAAATGAGTACTTTCATTCACAATGGGTTGGTTTTATACATTCTTAGTGGTTAACATAAAATAAGCTACAGAGGTATATATCTTACAGAATTAAAAATTGACATACTGAGAAGTTAAACAATTTTGAAGATGTTGCAAACATTAGGCATTAGACAAAGATAAACCTGAAGCTCCTCGTTATTTTCTGTGTAATTTTTCTGTACCAAGGGAATTTTATTAATGTTAGGATATTTCATGTATAGTGTCAGAAAGAGACCATTTGTAATATTGGAATTAACTTAGCTAGGCTTTGTCATTATGAAGCCATAGTTTTTAAATGGCACAAGAGCAAGACAAATGAACAGACATGCAACAAGCTAAAAGTGACTTAAAATTTCTTTGCCATATGACAAAAGTGAGTTTCCTTTAAGTGAATTTACGATAGGCACATTTTGCCAGCTGTGGTTTGTTTTTGTTTTCTCTTAGGCATCCACTTGCTCTTCTCGCGATGGCATCATTATAATCTCTCAGGAGGAAGTTTTACCTACCTCTTAGTGTGATGATGAGTGCATTCCAGTTCTGGAGCTGAGAGACAAAGAGCTGTCCCATGCAGGAGACAGTGTCCCCCAAGCCACAATTATTAATAAGTTGCTGTCAATAGCCATTAATGATGTACAAACTAACTTCAAGGTACTTTATTTAAAACAGTAAAACAAGTGCCAGGAAGATTTCAGTGGGAAATGTCATGCTTTACATCATGAGGACCAAAGTCTGGATGTCTAGTACACATGGAAAAGCCCGATTCAGTATCATGATCCTGTTATCTTAGCATTGCAGTGCAGGGACAGGGGGGACCTAGAGGCTTGCTGGCCAGCCAGTCTAACTGAAAATAGAATTCCCTAGTTTCAGTGAAATACTGTGTCTTAAAAAAGAAGGTAAAAAATATTAGAGGAAGACATCCAAACATTAACCTTTTACATCTACATGTTCCTGCATGGGCAGGTATACCTGTACACATGCATATATATCTCCCTTCAAAATAAATAAAAGCATAGGTATCTTGACTTAGCAAGCAGAAAAGGAATTAAGGTATTCTCTTCCAGAACCAACCTTCAAATATGTTCTTTGGCACATAATTTCCAACCTCATAGACTCCTATGGAGTCATCTCTTCTGAACATGTTACATTGCCAGGAGAAAACAACATTAAATTCTTAGGCACCTCATAGAAACCTTTTTAAAAAGAAAAGAAACATTTGAAATATATCAAATAAATACATCCAACATTTTATGGTTGTAGAACAACTAACTAGAAAATGTACAATTATGCCCATAGGGTGTCATAGACATAAAAATTTATAATTTTTTTCTTTGACAACTTCAATGTATAGATAGATATTTTCACACCCATCCTTTCCTATCTCCCTTACAATCCTTCTAACCTGCCCCATCTACATTAAGTTCCTTTCTCACATTCAAGTCTTTTTGTTTTGTCATGTGAACTACTGAGTTTAACCAGGGACTTCTGTATGGCCTGAGTTTTTAACTGTCAATTTGATCTGGTACACTCAATTGGGAGTACACAAATAAGGAAAATGGCTGTCTCTCCTCTGGAATCCATCAATATGTTCCCATGAGTTCTCTGACCCATGATTGACAGATGGCAGGCTCATTCCTGTGCAGGCCACAGCTGCTATGGCATCTCCAGAAGATAGCATTTTGTAGCCCTTTTTCATTATGGTAAGGTCCTTATATTTCCTCTACTCCTCTTCTTCAATGTTCTCCAAACTAGAGAGATTGTGGTATAACTATCTTGCTTAGTGTTAAAAATTCAGCTTTCACTTATTCTTAGCATTTTTAGCATCCATGAGTTTCTGCAATCACCACAGTTCACTGCAAAGAGAAACATCATCAATTCAGGCTCTGACAAGAGCTTTGAATGTTTAACTTTAAACAACTGAATTTTTTTAAAAGGGAGAGAAATAAGTAACCCCATATAATCAATATCACATAATTGATATTTGTTGACTAAACTAACCCTCAAAATTACAAATGCCTCCAAGACCATCCAACATATGCAACAAATAGACCTATTCCATATCAAAAACTCAATAAAACAAAGTAAAATACAAATCATTCAATTTAGGCTAGCTTTGGAAATAAACTAAAAAGAAAGTACTTCTTTACCTCCAAGCTTCAAATGTAAATAAAGAATAAAATAACTTGTCTGTCAAGAATAAATTGACAGAAAAGCTATAAAAATTTCTAAATAATATTTTATAGGAAATTCACAGCACCAAATAACTATATTAGGAAAGATGAAAAGCATCAAATTCCATAAATATCAATGAGACAAGGTTATATCATATATAATTTCATACCAGTAAATTTGAGTATTTAGAAGAAGCAAAGCAAGTCACTTAAATATGTCAACTGTCAATATTTTCTGACAGGCAGTGGGTATCAATTATAGACTGATTTTTATTCACTTAAAGACTTTTATCCAAAAGAAGTTCAATTCACTTAACCTGTGATTTCTTTAAAACAGAGCTCAGAACAGAAAATACTTTACAATCCACTTTTTGAAGCTGAAAATTTGAAAAAGATATTACCTTTGTTAAAAGGATACCTTTCTCCTCACAGCTGTAGGAATCCGGGATACCTTTCCTTCAAAGGTATGCCTCACTTCTGACAGTCATGGTGTCATATCCTTTGGAGCTGTAACACTTGTAATCTCTCTTCACTGTCTCTCTGCAATACAAGGTGACAAAATAAAGCAAAATAAACAGATCCTGGGAAAACACTCTGCTGTCCTTCCTCCTGTGAACCTCTTGAAACCCATACCTAGTCTATTTCCATTCCTAATAGCCACAAACAGATTTTTACCTAGAACCTTCAGTAAACACAAATGTCAAGTACAATTAAAATTTCATTTCAGGTAACTCAGCCATCATACTCTCCCAAAATCAAGGGAAAACAAAACAACAAAACAACCACCCATAAAAGACAAATTAAGAAATCAGAACATGGGCTTATAATGATCATAATCCCAGATGTTTTGAAGTCGGAAAAAAGTGAGCAATAACAGCCTCCACTGGAATTCAACTATAATATACACATAATATTGCAACATAATTGAAGCACAAAGAAAATAATTTAAGAGACCCAGGATGAAAATGATAGATTTCCTTTAAAAAGAAATGAATAATTTCCTTAAAGAAATCCAGGAAAATAAAAAGTATAAGGAAATGAATAAAACAGTTCAATATCGTAAAGTGAGAATAGAAGCATAAAGAAAACCCAAAGAAGAGGAGTTTGGGAAATGAAAAATTTGGGAATTCAAACAAGAACAACAGAAACAAGCTTCTACAGCACTGAAGATACTACAGCATAAATGGATGTATCAGTCAAATAAAATCTTAAATCTAAAACCCCTGGCACAAAACATTGAAAAAATCTGGGGCACTATGAGAAGACCAAATCTAAAAATAATAGGAATAAAAGAAGGAGAAGAATTAAAGGTCAAAGTCACAAAATGCTTTCAACAAAATCATAGAAGAAAAAAATTCTAACCTAAAGAAGTTACCTATAAAAGGACAAGCATACAGAACACCAAAAAGACTGGACCAGAAAGTAAATTCCTCTTGACACATAATAATCAAAATACTAAGTGTACAGAAGAAAGAAAAAATATTGAAAATTATAAGGGAAAAAAAGACTAAGAAACATATAAAGGCAGACAAACTAGAATACCTGATTTCTCAATGGAGAATCTAAAAGGAAGGATAGTGAAAAAACTAATCAGAAAAAAAACAGGGAAGGACATAACATACTCACCAAAAGAAAACTCAGCCAATCAATTCTTAATCTATACCCTGATACAAAAGTTCAACCAGGCGTGCAAAATTAAATTTACTACATCTAAAATTATATATTCAGCCTCATAAACTCGTAGTAGAAGACTTCAATGGGCCACTTTCATCAGCAAACGAATAATCCAGACAAAACTTAAATGGTGAAATACTGAAGCTAACAGAAGTTATAAACCAAATGAATCAAACATATCTACAGGACATTTTACTCAAACACAAAAGATTGGGAAAAAACATTCACTAACCCCACATCTGAAAGATGGCTGATCTCAAAAATTTACAAAGAACTCAAGAAGCAAGTCTCCAAAACACCAAACAATCCAATCAGAAAGTGGGGTACAGATCTAAATAGAGAATTCTCAGTAGAGGAGTCTAAAATGGCTGATAGACACTTGAGAAAGGGCTCAACATCCTTAGAAATCCAGGAAATGCAAATCAAAACAACTCTGAGATTCCATCTCACTCCTGTCAGAATGGCTAAAATCAAAAACACCAATGACAGTTTATGTTAGAAAGGATGTGGAGAAAGGGGAACACTCCTCCACTCTTGGTGGGAGTGCCAACTCATACAGCCACTTTGGTAATCAGTATGGAGATTCCTCAGGATAATGGGAATCAGTCTACCACAAGACCTAGCAATTCCACTCTTAGGCATATACCCAAAAGATGCGCATTCATACAACAAGGACATCTGTTCCACTATGTTCATAGCAGCATTATTTGTAATAGCCAGAACCTGGAAGAAGACCTCAACTGAAGAGTGGATAGAGAAAATGTGGTACATTTACACAATGGAGTACTATTCAGCAGAAAAAAAAGCAATGGAATCCTGAAATTTGCAGGCAAATGGATGGCACTAGAAGAAACCATCCTAAGTGAGGTAACCCAGTCACTAAAAGACAAACATGGTATGTACTCTGTCATATATGGATTTTAGACATAGATCTGGAGAATGCGAGCCTACAATCCCACTGCCAGAGAGTCTAGGAAACAGAACCTTCATCCAGTGACTGATGAAAGCAGAGGCACATATCCACAGACAAACACTAAACTGAACTCCTGGAATCCAGTGTCAGAAAGAACTGATGGGCAAAGGAGTTAAGACTGTGCTTGTTTAACCCACAGAAACAGTTTACCTGAACAAGGGGGATATCTTGGACCCCAGATTGATGGCTGTGTGGAAAGCATGGGACTGACACAGACGCCCTGAATGTGGGTGTCAGTGCGGAGGCCTAGGTAATCTATGGGGCCTTGGGTAGTATTTATCCTTGGTGTACAAATAGACTTTGAGTGCCCATGCCACATTATGGGAGGCTCTCTCAGCCAGGACTCTTGGGGGAGCCCTGCCCTGGATGAAATGACAGTCACTGGAGATCCACCATGGAGGGCCTCACCCTCCCTGGGGATCTGAGTGGAGATCTGGTGGGGGATTGAGGGACCTGGTGGGTAGGGCAGGGGAGGAGGGGATGAAGAGGTAGCTGGGATTGACATGTGAAACAACATTGTTTCTAGCCTAAATAAAAAAATAATCATTATTTTAAAAAAACAAAAAAAGAAACAACGAACAAGCTAATGGAAACTGAACAACTCACTGCTGAATGAAAAATGTGTTAAGACATAAATGAAATTTATGACTCTCTAGGATTAATGAAAATGGATGCAAAGCATACCATCCTAACTTATAGGACACAATAAAAATGGTGCCAAGAAGAAATCCATAGCACTAAGAGCTTACATAACAAATGGGGATATCAACTTAAAAACACTGTTTAAACCTCTTAAAAAGAGGACATAATACCCCAAAGTAGCAGACATCAAGAAATAGTCAAACCCGGGAATGAAATCAAAAAAATAATAACAAAGACAACAATACAAAAAACTCAATGAAACAAGAGTTGATTCTGAGAGAAAATCAAAAGCAGAGAGATAATATCTGAATTAATAAAATCAGAAATGAAATTGGAAACATAACAACAAACACAGGAATAATCAAGATAATCAAAGGGGCATACTTTAAAACCCTGTACTCCACCAAATTGCAAAATCTAAAAAAATGGATAATTTTCTACATGGGTACCACTTCCTAAAGTTAAATTAAGAAAAATGATTTAAAGACCTATAAACCCTTGTGAAATAGAAGTTATTAAGTCTTCCAAAAAAGAAAAAATAACAAAAACAAAAAACAAAACTAGGACAAGATGGTTTTGCACAGAATTCTACCAGACTTTCACAGAAGAATCAATGCCAATATTACTCAAATTATTTCACAGAATAGAGAGGTAACAGTTAATATTATGTAGCCACACTCACTCTGTACCCAAAGGCATAAAGACCCAAGCAAGAAGAGAAGTATAGACTAATTTCCCTTGGGAAATTAGAAGCAAAAATACCTACCAATAAACTCTTTGTTTCATTGATTCTTTTGTGCTGTTTTCTTTGTTTCTATTTTAATGTTTTCAACCCTGAGTTGGATTATTTCTTACTAACTATTAAGGGGTATAACTGATTCTCTTTATTCCATAGTTTCACTTGTGCTCTGATGTTACTAGTATGAGAACTCTTATCAAAAAGATCATCCTTCATGACTAAGTAGGCTTCATCCCATAGATGCAGGAATGGTTCAATATATGAAAATCAATAAATGTAATGAACCATAAAAAAGAACAGAAAGAAAAAGTTGAAGTACTATATCACTAGATGCAGAAAGACCTTTATGACAAAATTCCTAGAAATTTTCAGAATAAAGAGACATACATAAACATAACAAAAACAGCACATCTATAGCCAATATTAAAATAAATGGAGAGAAACTCATAGCACTTACACTAAAATCAGGAACAAAGCAAGGTTGTCCACTATATTCCTATCCAATACAGTGCTTGAAGTTTAGGTAGGCTATACAACAACAGGAAATCAAGGGAGAAAAAATTAGAAAGGAAGAAGTCAAAGTATATTTATTTGAAGATGATATGATAGGATAGACAAGTGATCCTAAATATTCCGCAAACAAACTCCATCAAAGTAGGTAGATGCTAAGGTAACTTACAAAAAGAAGTTATCCTCCAATATACAAATAACAAATGGACTGAGACAATACCTTTCACAATTGTACCAAACAATATAAAATATCTTGGGTAAAACTAACCAAGCAAATGAAAGACTTCTATAATAAAAATTTCTAATCTTCAAAGAAATAAGCAGAAGCTATAAGAAGATGGAAATAAATCCCATGTTCATGGATTGATAAGATAAACATTTTACAAATAGCCTCCTACCAAACACAATCTACAGATTCAGTGCAACCCCGATCAAAATTCAATGAAATTCTTCATAAAACTTGAGAAGAAAATATTCAGCTTCATATGAAAAATAAAACACCAAGAATAGCTAAAACAATGCTGAAAAATGAAGGAAGTGCAGGAGGTCTCACTATTCCAGATTTCAAGTTGATTTGTAGATCTATAGTAATGAAAACCACATGGTAATGGCAAAAAATAGATATATTAATCAGTGAAATCAAATTGGGGATCTATACATAAATCACTCACATATGGACATCTGACTTTTGATAAAGAGTTCACAAATACACACTGAAAAAGAAGATAGTGTCTTCAACAAATGGTGCTACTCAAGCTGGTTGGCTGAATATAGAGGAATGTACACAGATCGCTACTCATTACACTGCACAAAACTCAATATAAAACCAGATACACTGAACCTGATAAAATAGAAAGTGGTGAATAGCTGAATAGCTTTGAACTCACTTGCACAGAAGACTTACTAAACAGAACACCAATAATGCAGGCACTAAAATCAACAATTAATAAATAGGACCTCATGAAACTTATCAGTTTCTGTAAGGTAAAAAACAGGTCTTTC